TACATGTAACTGCATTATTTTCTCAAAAATGACAAAAAAAAAAATTCACTGATTTTCTCAGATGATGTCCCATATAGTATTTTTCTGCCGTTTATAAAAGGATTGGCAATTAATAACTTTTAATTAACAATATTCATTAATTTGTTTTTTTACAAACGTTAATTAATTTTGATTTTTTACAAACATACAAAATCAAATTATTCAATATATTATATATTAATATATTATAGCAAAAAAAAAAAAGTGAATTAAAAAATTAAAAAAATTTTAATTTTATAATATTTATCTTTTGCAAACCACAATTAATGAGAATGATCATGATGAGGTTTTAGTATCACCTACATTATGATTTAAAGCAGGACTTTGTGGATGCCAAGCTGAATTTCTACAATGTGCTTTTTTAAGCTCTTCAAATTTTAATTGTATTGTTTAAGCCCATCTGTGTGAAAAAAAAGAATGGTCAGAATAAAATGCTCAATACTTTAATGCTAAGAAATGGAAATAAAACTTACCACCAGATTCCAAAAGACCCTTAGAGCATGCACAAGCTCATGATGGTCCTTCCGATTAACTAGAAGCCAAAAGGTGCCAAATGTGAAACATTCGGTAAACCTATTTGCAAACAAGAAAATTTATTTAACAAGTACAAAAGTCAAGACTCAGGACTCAGCAATTAACTTACATGTGTGTGAAAAAACTAGATACAGAAACATCTCATAATTTCATAGTCACCATGATCAAGCTTTGTAGCTATATCATTATGGAAGTATGACCGTCCTCAATAACCTCTCCTAGTAGCTGAAATTGCCAAAACACTTTGGGCAAAAATTAATTCTTTATAGCCCAAACTATTTTTATTAATACATATGTAAACTCGATAAGTCAGTTGTGTGGGGGTGAGCTCATGTGACTGATTTATCGAGCAAACTGACTTGTCGAATTAATTACTTAAATATTAAGAAAATGAGTGAAATTTTTGGCCGATTTATCGAGTTTTACATATGTAGCTGAAATTGGGAAAAATTATTAAATTATTTAAATTAAAATATGTTAGTTTATATAGTTTTTTCATGTTCATTCTTATAAAAAATATCGAAAAGCCCAAACTATTATCAAAGCTTAATCCCTTCATGTGGTCTTTCAAATACTTTTATCACTGTTCCTGGTCAAGAAGATGATGACGATGATGATTGATGACAAGGTTGTTGTTTTCAGTCCTTATTGAGCTCTAAGTTGATTTTCTTTCATTAATTCATCTTCTTTTTGTTTTCATAATTTTAAAAAGTAATCAAATTGTAGTGGTTAAATAATTGATGAAATAATAATAATTCCGTTATAGAGAAAGTGAACTTATGCCTTTTTTATTTCACTATCATCTCTAAAAACATTATCAATGCTATATTCTGCATTTAGATGATACAACATCCCACTCATAATTTGAAAAAACTCCAATTCTTTTCCACGCATAATTTCTTTATCACCTTGTTTTACAGTTACTTGACATTTCACAACTTCATCTTCCTGTTTAAAATACTTTCAAAGCAATACTCATTTTTTTAACTTTCTCCTTGTAAATTATTTATTTTTTTAGCTTGAGTTTGAAAACTAACAGTATTTAAAGTTGACGAATTTGATGGCTTCTAGGCTACAAATATAATAATCATGTTGCATAATTTTTTGGTAAACAGTGATTTTTCGATTAATAATAATTGATTGATCAAAGTATCTATCATTGGTATATTAAAACAATTTTGTCATGTTTACTTCATTGTCAGCTATTAATATATAATAAAGAGTTTTTTTAGTATTAAAGTAAAATCTGGTATAGAAAGGCTCGTTATTATTTTCATTTTATAACAAAACATTAGATAATCACTAAGGTTTGACCAAATAACCAATAATTCCAACAACATCAGTTCCCAGAGAAATGTTGTTCAGTAATAATATTACCGACAAATGCACAAGATGAATAACTTTATTATTTACTATATTTACTACTATATTATTAAAGTGAAAAATTGGAGTGTAACTTTTACTTACCTCGTAACTTCGAGAATAGAATAATCGTTATGTACGGAGTCATGTTTGTTATATTTTATATTCGCTAGATTTTTTTTTTTTTGAAAATCTAGTTTTTCTAAGGATACCGGCTGCAACTTTTGATGATGGTTGCTACCACCTTTGCGTCATATAAAAATGATTGCAACCACTGGTT